TTTGAAAACAAGAACTAAATGAAATAATGGAAAATATAAATGTGAGGAAACTTAAGGATTAAATCTAGGTTCCCACTCTCAAAAGTAGGTTTCCACGGCCCTTATTTCTTTATACTACCATAGAAATTGATCTAATCTAATGCAATTGGCAGGATGACATTTTAACTTGGATATTCATGAGAGATTTTTATACATAATTTTTAAAATTTGAAACATAATTGATACATAAACTTAATCTGTAACTTTTTTCCCCACCTGGTGCAGGTCAGCCACATGGCCCAGTTCTCGGTGCACACTGCCCTTATACCTCTCCATGCACTGACATACCTACTCACCAGAAATCATCAGCCAAGTCACCTCATTCTTCCATAGGAATCAACATCTACACATAACATCAGGCAGCACAGTACTTAGTCCCCATTCTGAGTAGCACTTAGAAGTCATGCTAATATTAGGTTTCCAGTATCTCAGGGATATTATAAGAATATATCTAATTATAGTCTCTACTTTGGACAGAGCTCTGGAATTGAGTCCTCAGAGACTGCTCACCAACTCCTGGGTGCTGCTCTAGAAACACAGGAAAGCTCAAGGAACGCAGAAGCAAGCTGAAGTGTAGGTAGTACAATTTCAAGAAGTGGGACTAAAGCACACGCTCATTGTCATTTATACTTGATACATGTAACAACAGATAATTGCATCTCTACCTGCTTGTGAATATGTGGCCCAATTCCATAGGCCCTTTCCATACAGAATAAACTGGCTAAATTCGTCTCCAATATTTTAACTAGTATAATAGGCTTTCTGGCTTGAACTATTTCTCTTCACTGATAGTTTTTTTTCCAGACAAATATAACTGATTTGCATTTCTCTAATTAGCATAAAAACACAAAGACATGATCTTTTGTCCATTGTGTTTTCTATACACGAATTCTCAAACCCCTACTAATAAATGCCTAAAATTTCAATCCCAGAGTCTGACTATTGGTGTTTAAATACTGACTTTGTCACAAACTAACTGTTAAATTTTGAATGACTTGTGTATCATTTCTATGTCTCAATTTCCTTAACTATAAATGGGAATAATAATAGCATTTCCTTCAATGGGTAGATTTGAGACATAAATTTTTCTGTGGCATTTAGAACTTTGCCTTGTACACAGTAAATCACCAATTACAGTTATTTTTTAAATTATTATTAATTTATATTTCAGCTTAAAAGGAAAACTTCATAGATGTGATTATTGCAAAAGAAATTGAGGAAATTTGTAGCCATTTTTCTTCTTAACTCTAATGATGTGAAACACTTTCTCTCTAATCTTAGACCCAAATATACATACGTGTGTGTGTGTGTGTGTGTGTGTGTGTGTGTGTGAAGTTCCTATTAGAATGCAGTTGTTGTAGTTATTTGGAGTGAAAAATTATATCTCTGTATTTACACAGTTAGGGTTTCTGAGAACCTGCTTAGGACAGCACTACTTAAGCAAATAAAGCATTGAATTCAAAGCATGTGAAGTAATAACGCTTACCTGGCCTCATCTGTCTTCTCCATTATTCCATACCAACATATCATTAATATTATCGCCTCCAAATTTATAATTTTTGCATTGCTGTATATATACAATGTTATAGTCTCCGGTCCAATCAGGTCTTAAAATCTAATCAAAATTACTCTTAAGACATTTACTCAAAGGTGCATGTTTTTCTCTGTGTGAATGAGGAAGCATCTGAAGTTGAGAGCTGCTAAAATATCTGGAATACAAGTGGGGAGCTAACCTTAGGAGCAAGATGAGATCCAGAATTTTAACACCAAATATTAAAATAAAATTGACCCTCATAACTTATTTTAGTTATACAAACAACTGTTATATAAAACCCAACCTACATCTTTATTGCTGTGAGAGCTAATAAATTTCCTTTGAAAGTCTATATTCTCTTTTCAAAAATATATAACATAAAGTATCCCAACAGATACAGATTTAATTCTTTTTTTTCTTGGATTTAATTCTTTCTTTTTTCTTTTTTTTCCCCTCCCAGTGGCACCAGTTCCGTATTTCTACTCTCAACTGGTTGCACTCATGTGTCTTGCTGAGAATACTTTTTATTACTCTCCTGTTGTGGATCCACTGTTTCTCGTCCACTGTTCTGTCTTCCTATTTTGCAGATAGCCTTGTAATTTTCCTGGAACAAATCTTTAAGTTCCAAAAGTATGATGAATGGGAGGTATAGTTTTAAAACTTTGTGTGACTAAAAAAGTACTTTGCCCTCAACCATGATTAATATTTTAGGTTTAGTCATTATTATCAGTTGAATTGTAGCCCCTGAAAATGCATATGTTAAAGTCCTAAACCCTCATTACCTCACAAAGTGACCTTATTTGGAAATGGGGTCATTACAGATGAAATTAAAGTTAGGTCATACTGCCCTAGAGTGAGCTCCTAATCCAATATGTCTACAACCTTATATAGGAATCCTATATAAAGAAACAGACATGTACACAGGGAGAACATTGTGTAAAGATGAAGGCAGGGAGCAGGATGATGCTTCTATATACCAAGGAAGGCCAAAAATTGCCAGAAAACCACCAGAAGCTAGGCAGGAGGAATGGGGCAGATTCTCTCTCCTGGCCCTTATAAGCAACCGCACTGCCACCTTGATCTCCTATGTCCAGCCTCCAAAACATTGAGACAATAAAAGCCAACTACTTTGGGATATTTCTTTTATTTCTTCTTTTTTCTTTTTCTTTCTTTCTTTTTTTTTTTTTTTTTTTCTGAGACAGGGTCTCACTCTGCTGCCCAGGCTGGAATGCAGTGGTTCAATCTTGGCTCACTGCAGCCTATACCTCCCAGGTTTAAGCAATTCTCCTCCCTCAGCCTCCCAAGTAGGTGGGCTTACAGGCACCCGCCACAACGTCCGACTAATGTTTGTATTTTAGTAGAGACAGTGTTTTCGCCATGTTGGCCAGGATGGTCTCGATCTCCTGACCTCATGATCCACCTGCGCTGGCTTCCCAAAGTACTGGGATTACAGGCATGAATCACCATGCCTGGCCTACTTTGTGACATTTCGTAAAGAAATGTGGTCCTGGCAGACTAATACAGTTATGCTGTTTGAAAATGATTTTCTAAGCATGATTACATTTATCTTCTATCTATATAGTAGTTAAGGATTCTGGGACTATTTAAGTTCTCACTTTTTTAAAGTATTCTTTTAGTTTTCCTTTACTCTTTAAAAAATGTTAATATAATCTCTTTATATTTAAATTTCTGGAAATGTATCCTCATTTACTAAGGGAATTGAGCCTAAGATATAAATCTATTTAAAAGCAAAAAATATATATTTTATTTTTACTTAAACAGATGTCAATTTTTCTTCTCTTTTTCTCTCCCCTACCTCCACCTTTTTAAAATTTTGACAGTCTTCTGGATGTATCTTCTATGTATACACTTTTTTATTTTATATTTTAATCATGATTTATGTTCTTTCTCATCTTTTGAAATGTTTCTTTGAATTTGTATTCCAATATATAGATAGACTTTAAAAAAACATGTAATCATTTAAACAGGACTCCACAATTTACAAATCTCCGGTCTCATCTGAATGCCTGCGTTCTGAGCAAACTTGAGAGTTTCTTTTTTTTTAATGTCAAACAAATGAAGACTAAGATCTTCATCTTTACTATTTATAAGCTGATGATTTAGAATCAATCATCTACCACGGTCTTGTTTTCTTTTATAATCCAGCTTGTTACTCTGTTCCTCTGTATAAAATGGAGCACTTAAAACTGGACCCCTTACTGACACCTTACACAAAAATTAACTCCAGATGGATTAAAGATTTAAACATAAGACTTAACATCATAAAAACTCTAGAAGAAAACCTAGGCAATACCATTCAGGACATAATCATAGGCAAGGACTTCATGACTAAAGCACCACAAGCAATGGCAACAAAAGCTAAAATAGACAAATGGGATCTAATTAAACTCCAGAGCTGCTGCACAGCAAAAGAAGCAATCATTACAGTGAATCGGCAACCAACAGAATGGGAAAAATTTTTGCGAGCTACCCATCTGACAAAGGGCTAAAATCCATAATCTACAAAGAACTAAAGCAGATTTACAAGAAAAAAACAAACAACCCCATCAAAAAGTGGGCAAAGTATATGAACAGACACTTTTCAAAAGAAGACATTTATGCTGTCAACAAACATATAAAAAAATGCTCATCATTACTAGTTTTTAGAGAAATGCACGTCGAAACCATATTGAGATACCGTCTCATGCCAGTTAGAATGGTGATCATTAAAAAAATCTGAAGACAACAGATGCTGAAGAGGATGTGGAGAAATAGGAATACTTTATATATACAAAAGTTCCTTTGAAAAAGCTTTTGAATTAAGGTAGGAGGCTGCAAAACTCTATTGAAGTCCTAAATTAAGGAAGGTTATTTTGAGATGGCAGGCTTGCATCTAGGTGACAGGCTTGCTGAAGACGGTCCTGGTAACAGGCCTGGAATGATTCATCTCTCTATAGACTAAGCTACAACCTTGTTTGGCCTCAGTCCTGCAAATATAACCACTTGCCAAAGGACCAGAAGAAGTCATGTCCATTCATGCCTTGGGTAATAGGGCTTTGTTTCAGCTTTGAAGTAACCATGTAACTTATCTCCAGTCTCCTCTCTCAGCTATGGTCTGAGAGCAGTTATTCCTGCACAGGGACCTATAGGGAGAGAAGTCCATTCATGCGTCTTGAGACAGGCCTAGATGGTAACACTCTGAACATAAATTTCAATACATGTGAAAGGATATGAATAATACAATTATATTCTTCAACCACAATGGGATAAGATTAAAAATCAGTAGCAAAAACAATTTCAGAAACTCACAAATGTCAAAAGTAAACACCATACCACCACAATAATCAATAAGTCAACCAAACTGTGAGGAAATAATACTTTGACACCTTCATAATTTAAACTTTTATTTTAATAGAAATAGTGGCAAAACATGTCAAAATTCATAAGACACCTCTAAAGCAGTTTTTACAGGGAAATTTATCATTGCAAATGCTTGTGTTAAGGAAAAATGAAGATCTCAAATCTATAAACTAAAGTTCCACATTGAGAATCACAAAAGAAGAGCAAACTACACATGTGGAAGGAAGTAAATTTTAAAGACTAGACAAGACTGCAAATTAATAAGATAGAGAATAGGAAAGCAAAAACGAAATTAATAAAACCAAAACCTGTTTATTTGGAAAGATAAACAAAACTGACAAACATTTATCTGCATTGACCTAGGGGAAAAAAAGAGAAAATTAATTCAAATTACTAGAAAAAATAATTAAGGGAGGCATTATTATAAACATTATAGAAATTAAAAATCCAAAGGAATACTATAAAAACCATGTAATACTTAGATGAGATGGAGACATTTTTTGAAAGATGCTAGCTACTGAAACTGACTTCAGTAAGTAGAAAATCTGAATGGACCTATACAAATGAAGATATTGAGTTAGTGATTAAAAAACAAAAATTACCAAAATAGATGAGCTCAGGTTTGAATCATAATCCAAGGTATAAAATAAATATCCAGAAGTCAATATTAATATAAATAAATGATTGAGTAAATAAGAGAAAAGAGAAAAATCTCTCAGACAATAATTTCAAGTAGATAATCTGACCTCATGAATTTCCATTCTTTCAGTGTAGGCTTTGAAAAGTGATTCCCTTTTAAAAAGTATGGTATGGAAAGAGGGATTTTTAAAAAGAAAAAAGATTAAGTTGGCAGTGGAGAAACATAATAAATACTATCCCAATTGCATAAATAAGTCATCCTTAACAGTGATGTCATGTTGCTAATATATATTATTGATATGATGCAATAAAAATGGTGTTATTCCTCTGTGGTCTTACCCCCCAAAACATGTAAGCCTACTCTAATAATGAGAAAAGCATCAGAAAAATACTTATAGAGGAACATTTTACAAACTCTCTGTTAGTAGTCCACAAAAATGCCAAGATAATTGAGAAACTTTTAAGGTTAAGAGCAGTCTATAAACACATGGTGGCTAATGTAATGTTATATCCTGGATTGGATCTTGGAGTACAAGAAGAATATTAGGAGAAAAACTAAGAATTTCTGAATAATATACAACTGGGGATAATAAACTATCAATGTTAGTCCACTAATTATAAAAAACACACTTTACTAATATAAGATGGTAATAATAGGGAAAACTGAGGGCAGGATCTATGATAACTCTGCACCATATTTAAATTTTTATGTAAGTTTAAAACAACTTAAAATAAGGTTACTCTAAAAGAAAAGTGTGGTTAATAACGCAAAGTAAAATGGAAGTTTAATCAAGATATTAATGTTGAATTTAGTAACAAGTAGAGCACTAGAAATAGCATAAACGGCATATCAGTGGAATCATGAAGATGAAAATCAGACCACAGCAGATTCAGGTTTGAGTGTGAGGTGATGAAGTTGAATTAATGAGTATACACAATTCTTAAAGATATTTTCTTGTTCTATATAAATTAAAAACAGATATTCCAGTTGATCATTTTAATTGAAAACAAAGCCTTCATAGCATAACATCTCAGAATTTTCTAGTAGTTAAAATATGTATTTGCATAAATCCCATAATTAACAATGAAAAATATCATCTCCAAAAATACATTGAGCATTTCAGTGTAGAATGTCATTGGGAACACAGAAAAGGATGATCAGAACAGTATATGGACAGGAACACAGAAAATGAAGAACTGTATTCCTTCCTGCTCACCTTATAAGGAACACATTTTAGGATGTAGAACAACTTGAGACTGTCATCAGTAATTGAGAAATGTACTGAAAACCCGGATTTTAAAAAATGGACAGCAGTCTGGATCTCATAGTATCTCTACTCCTCATAATAGAAGGCCCTCTGCAGATTCCTACATACATCATCACTGTTTCTGCTTTATTCCAATTTATTTGATTAATTTGGTCCAACTTTTCTTTCTTCTACACTTCTAAAAGTTTGCTAGGTTTTATTTATTTATCTTCCATTTTTGATATGAGGTGCTCCTACTAGAAATATTTCTTTTTCCCTGAACAGAGGATCAAAACTTGTATTTAAAATTTTTTTTAATTAAGTTAAAAAGTATTGAAAAACTTTTGAAATCTAAATCTTTCTCTGATATATTGAGGACCCTCAAAGTGTATAATGAATATCTTCACTGTAAAATATAACTACAGCTTTATTCTATATATTGAAAATATACAGATTAACTATTATCAAGGTTTAGATACAGTATCTTAAAGTCAAAATATCATTGGTAACGTGAATTCAAAATCCTACACTACATTAAGTGTTCTCATAATTATAAAGAGAATGAGGGAAAGATATGTTTCAGAATCTCTGTCATCTACACTTCATCTTTCTTGAATTTCTTCAGGATTCTGTCACGAATCTGCTTCGTCTTAACACTGTAGGCAATGGGGTTCATGAGGGGTGGAACCAGCAAGTAAACATTGGCCATTAGCACATGGACAATTGGGGAAGCATTCTGTCCATAGCGACGGATCATAGATAACCCAATCATTGGCGTATAGAAGGTGAATACAGCACAGATGTGAGAGATGCAAGTATTGAGGGCTCTCACTCTCTCTGCCTTGGAGGCTATACTCAACACTGTGCCCATGATGAGGACATAGGAGAGGAGGAGAAGCAATGAATCAAGTCCCATGGAACAGATAACCACCATGAGGCCATAGATGCTGCTGACTCCATGGTTGGATACAGTTGACTTTATGAGGTCCTGGTGCAGGCAGAAAGGGTAGGACAGAATATTGACATCATGATACTGAAGCTTCTTCAAGAGGAAGGAAGCTGGAAACACCAGAGCCAAGGCCCTTCCAGCAATTGCCGACCCAATCCCAATAATTACATCATTGGTTAGAATGGCTGCATAGCGCAAGGGTTCTCTGATTGCTATAAAGCGATCAAAGGCCATAGCCAAGAGTACAGCTGACTCAATAATTGAGAAAACATGAATGAAGTACATTTGGACCAGACAAGCATTGAAGGAGATCTCCCGGGCATGGAACCAGAAGACACTGAACATGGTAGGCAAGGTAGTGGTAGATAGGCCCAGGTCAGTGAATGCCAGCATTGACAGAAAGTAATACATTGGTTGGTGGAGGGAAGACTCAGTTCTGATAATGAAGAGGATGCTAATGTTCCCAGCAATTGAGGTGGCATAAACCAAGAAGATGGGGAGGGAAATCAAGTCATATCTGCTTTCAAGGCCTGAGAGGCCCGTTAGGAGGAAGCGAGGGTATAAGGCAGAACTATTGAAGACAGACATTGTGCTCAGGGATGAACCTTGAGTCTAGGTGAGGAAACAAGAATATGGAAAATTAGGGTAAAAGTCAAAATTGTAATAAGAACAATAATGTATACTGCTCTGTTTAATATTTTTTATCATGTCTGTGCTCATTATATTTAATCACCACCTATATTTAATATTTTACCAATTAATTTAGTTTTCTTCACTGTGCATTAGTTGATGTCATTTTTTTTTTTGAGTCGAAGTCTCACTGTCCTCTGTCATCAGGCTGAGTGATGGTGGTGCAGTCTCGGCTCACTGCAGCCTCCACCACCCAGGTTCAAGCATTACTCCTGCCTCAGCCTCCTGAGTACCTGGAACTATAGTCACACACCACCACGCCCAGGTAATTTTTGTATTTATTAATAGAGATAGGGTTTCACCATGGTGACCAGGATGGTCTCGATCTCTTGACCTTGTGATCCACCCACCTCGGTCTCCCACAGTGCTGGGATTATGAGATCATTTTTGGAGATAGGATCTCGCTATGTTGCCTAGACTAGCATTGAACTCCTGTTCTCACGCAATCCTCCCACTTAGGCCTTCTAAGTAGCTGGGACTACAGGTGCACACCACTAAACCTGAGAACATATTTTATTAAAGGAAATCTGGTATTGCTAAAAAAAAAAAGATAAATATATAAGAAATGCCATCGAATATGTGTAAACTAGTGGGCAGAAGCTTAAGTTAAAATTAAGTATTAGTTTAACATTATAAAGTTGATATTAAAAAAAAAAAAGCACAGAAGAGACAACTAACCTCATCCAGGTAGTTTGGGGAAGATTTATTGAAGGAGAGTCTTAAATTAGGTCTCAGATGACAAATACTAGGTGGATGGGATAAAAAGGCTGTGATGTACTTCCTGTACTTATTAAAATCCATGTAAATACAATAGGGTATTAGAGAGTATGACAAATGTCAAAACCTATAATTGAGCAAAGCTGTAGGATAGATGGCTCTTCATATGATTCTTGAAGCTAAGGTTAAATAGAAGTGAACCAGAATTTCTGAAGGAACTTGTGTGTAAGTATGAGAAGCTTGGATATAATGTTAGAGGACATAAGGCACTCATTGTAACAATAAACTGTGGGAATGCTCCCATGTGAGAACCCCAAGTAGTGGGTCACACTATATGGTTGAGCTTGATCCTGGACACAGGCCCCCTGTTGGAGGCAGTCGAGCTATGGGAAAGAAGGACTGCAAGAAGCCTTATGTGATATGCAAAAAATAACATGAGTTATTACTCTATTGTGCTGAGATGATGGGAGGCACAGTGTCCACTTTTGGTTCTCACAGTGTCTACTTTTGGTTCTCACATTGTCCACTTTTGTTTCTCTATTCATTATAGTTTCTTCTTAAAGTTATGACTTAAATCTTCAAAGCAAGCTGATAGTAAAAATTGCTTTGTTTGTGTCTTTCCTGTACCTGGACCCTTGATATGGCATTTACAATACTGCTTGTGACTTAATGATTTATAATGTAGCCTGTGATTTTCTTGTGAAACTCCTGCCCTAGATAAATAGTTTCTTTTAAACTTTTAAACTTAGATAATGCACCTGGACTCTTGTGACTGATAATTGCACCCCCCGCTTTAACCTGATTATGTATCTCCCTGTTCCCAGCATATTTATCCAAAATATGGTGACCTGTGATTGTATTGTAAAACTTTCTGTTCCCACGAAACACTGATTCCATGAAGTAAATACTTCTGCTTGTAATGTATATAATCAGACCCTGAGTTCAATAAAGCTGTTGGTGAAGCATCTGACTTCTCAACCTTCCAGACTCCATCTGTTCTTTCTTCTTCTCTTCTGCGCACCCCCTTCTCCAGGTTGGGACCCTCTTGCTGGCCAAGAGCCCCCTGGCAGATGTGCCGGCCACCACAGTAAACAACTTGACCAGATTATAATGTATCTATGTCAGAATATAATCAATATTAAGAGTGATCTAAAGGCTGACAAGAGAGAAGGCAAGGAAATCAATTAGGAGACTATTGTAGTCATAGAAAAGAAGTGGATGAAAGTGAACTCTAACAGTGGGTATTATGAAGAATAAATAGGTATGAAAGTTACATGGGAAGAACAAATAACATCAACAACATGGATCATCATATGCTAAGAGTGGGAAAAAGAAAGAAATCCAGAATAAGTTTATTAATTTGCTATTTTTTTCCTGTAATTTATTGAAAGAAACAAAATACCTGCCTAGAAAATTGGTGAAACCAATGGGCCATGTAATTCCTGTTTGGTTATGATAAATTTGACCTGTGTGGGAGAGATAGTGGTATATTTTTCTATAAAAACAAAGAAAGAACACAATGCCAAGTTATAGAAAAAGAATAAAAGAGTTATGTGCTCAGGGTTCAGTGACCACAATATATCCGATGAGCTGTATGAAATAGGCAGATATCACCATGAACTGGAGAAGATAGGCATTACAGCTGAAGCTCAAGAAATCTGTTACTTAGCATCATAATGGCCACTTGATTCCAGTAACTCTGGGTACCAAACATCAAAAACATGTTGATTTAGTATATTTCATTTCAAAGTTTTGCCAAAATTTACATGGTTCATTCTCAAACCTACCCTTCTCCACAAATACAATCACAGTTCATTGTTTCCCCTAATAGGAATAATTATAAAACAACTAATTCTGTCTCATTCTGTAAAGATGATGATAATTGTCTATTCTGTACTCTTTATGAGCAGATACCAAGTGAAGAACAGGAGAATTATTTTGCATATTCTCATCCTACATTTAGTGGTTTATATACTATACTAATTATAGAAACTAATGGTCTTTATATACCTCCTTCACTTTCCCCGCTTTTTATGTTATAAACTTCTGGTCTGCTTCATTGCTGAACACTAACTATGTCAACACTTTGGCTCTTTCACATAATTATTTTTTTTCTTGATACCCACCCTCAAATCTTTCAGTAGTCTTCAGCGTCTCCATCCTGCCTGGGCACACTAGGTCTTCCCTCTTAAATAACTCTTTCCCACTTCTTTTGATGAAGGTGCCTGGCTTAGGGAATTCATAATCTGACTTCCCTGATACAGACACAGGCACCCAACTCTCAGTGGCTACATCTCTAGACTCAGAGAAAGTCAGATGAAAACTGTTATTTACTACGTTTTGGACAGATTACTAAACCCCTTTGACTATAAACAAACTGGAAAATGTATTACTTTATGTAATGCTTAAGAGATACAAACAAATATATATAAAGTACCCAGAACAATATCTAAGATTTAGGAGGTACTTTGGACTTCACTGAAGCAAACTGTTAATTAAGATGCTGAGGTAGCCATGTGCTTAAGTATATCAACCAAACACAGCAGTGACACAAAAGCAGGTGTTGTCTAGAGTGCCCAAGTTATCACATATAAAGATGTTACCTCCCAGGGCTTCGCTTAAGAATTATCTTGTACAAACTAGTGGACGTAAAGTAATAATTAATATTCCTCTTTTTCCCTCATAATATTGCTAAGTGTATAAGCTATATGTAAAAGTGAGATAGAGGACTCAAATCATCATCAACTTCATCAACATCAACTTCATCAGTTTTAACATTACAATTTTTAGTTAGTATCAGATAGTAGTATTTTGAGAGAAGAGGAATTTCAGTACATGGGTTTCCACTATAGGTGCTTTCTGTGCCTAGATGTGAATTTGCAATGGGAATCCCTTCCCAGAGCTTTCTGAGCAACTTTTGAAGAGAATAGTTTGACTCCTTTGGAGAAATGTAAATGTGTACCTCTGACCTATTCTATTCTAGAGCAGTGATTTCACATGATTAGAAGTCATTCCTAATTTTGGCATTTACTTAAACTTCCTGGATTCTTCCAATATGTAATGTAGTAATCTCTTACCCGTTTTTCTCACCTCAAAGCCTTCCTTCAGGCACACCTGGGCCCTCAAGGGCAGACAGCCTCACTCTGCTACAGCTTAGCTGGGTTTCCAGTCTGTCAAGCTTAGAGACTGCTTGTAGGTTAAGAAAGCCACTGAAGATGAACATAGAAGAAGAATAAAATACACAATGTATCCTAAAGCAGATAGCTCTTCAGGGAAGCATAGATACCCTAAGTAAGGCATCAGTGTCTCCCTCAGTAACCCCAGAGTCAGCTTTTTTGCCTTTGGCATTCTTGACTTTGTCCAGCCAGGTGCTTTATCAGCACTGCTGTGCTTTAACTACTCTGACCTTTTGCCCATCTTGACTATTCCATTCTCCCAGGACCACTTTTTTTTTTTTGTCAATACAACCTCTAGGGGGAATAACTAACATTAGCGCTGCAAGAGCTATTTTTCCTGCTCTAGGACAGGAGATGATCATGCCAACTTCCCATTCCAGGAGTCCAGATTAGGAAGTAATTGAGAAGTATTCTGGGAATCATGTCATGGAGATGAAAAAAAAAATGGGCTTAGTCAGAATGATGTATAAGAAAACATTTGTGTTCTAAGTAATCAGATACTGCATTTAGTAGCTGCTGAATGCTGAGAAAATTATTCTGTATTCAGGCCATTTTTACTTTTGCAACCATACAATAGGGCATAATTTGTTGAACTCTAGTTAAAATATATATATAAAATTATATAATTTTATATAATATATATATAATGATGTGGGTAAAGTAGAAATCCGTTGCTCAAAAGTGATGCTTATGATAGCATGATTAAGAGGTATGGGATCCATATGCAGTTGGTCCATAATACCCAATTCTTTCACCAGCCACTGGACAGAGGGATAAACATTCTACCATAATCATCCTGCAACAACTGCTACTTACACTGGCCCCCAAATCTTCCTCTGAGCAGTCAATAAATGACAAAGATGTGATATTATACAAAAAGTTACACTGCCATATTCTCATTATAGAACAAAGGCATAAATCCCTCCAAAGTATAATTATCTTATCTCTTCATTCACAAATTACACAGGTAATAGATATGATCATGCAGAACGAGTTTGGCAAATCTTCACTTTAGATTAAAATCCAACACTCTGATCTCT